CTGAAAGAATATATTTGAACAAAGCTGAGAATGAAAGAAAGTATGAAATAAATTTTCAACACAAGAAACTATTTGTAAAAGTTTACAGCGTCGGAGACGCCGCATTTTTCTAGTAAACAGTATGCGATAAAAAAGTACACGTGTTCTTATTAAGCGATGTGTATGACTAAATAAACATCAAAAATTGAAGTGGGTATTAATTTTTTTTAAAAATTTGTAACACAGTGTAATTTATTGCTCATTTGCTTTAATTTAGAAAAGTTTGCTACGTATTTTCATTGAGTAAATGGGGGTAAACTAAGCAAGCTAGCGTCACGTAGGCGGCGACCCGTTCGTACTACAGTATAAGAGAAAGTAACTAGTGGTGCTATAGAATGGCACAGACTTTCCCGTATTACTTCTCTATTTCCATTGGTCTCGGCTAGCTATTCGAACTTGGCACACACTCTTGCCAGCTGCTATCTATCGCCACCACGTACATTTTTCTTTACATTTCCTTAACTTGTCGAAGGGATAGTGCTAATTGCACTGTTTAATATGACATAAAGTTAATTTTGTTTTTGTTTTTTCTAAAATCCACAAATGTAATATTTTCACTCTCACGCCTTTAATATGCTAATTTCCACCAATTTGTAAACACTATTGTAAGTTAGTGTGTTACACTATTGTAAGTGTTGTGAGTTAACGTGCGTTAAATGACTTGTAATAAAGTTTAACACTCAAACAACTCTGTGGAAAAGAGCTTCAAATTTCGAATTTACAGGAGCGCTTAAACGCCAGTTTTTTAAAAACAGCTTCAAATTTTTCAAAGAAAATTGCCATTTAGAACGAGGTTTTACTGTTCTTTAATAATCTTAAAATAATATTTCTGCTCTACGATTAGGAAACCGAATAAATTAAGAAAATGTAAAACAAAAATGTATTTTGGACGGCGAAAGATGGCAGCTGGCAAGAGTATGTACCAAGTCCGAATAGCTAGCTGAGACCCCGGGAAATATAAAACTAATACGGGAAAGTTATGTCATTCTGTAGCACCACTAGTTCATTGTCAGAGCCCGGCAATTAATTTTTTCTGCCGAAAATCGGTCTTTTTCGCGCAGCATTATATAACTTTTTCTATACTACGCATATTACTCCGAATACACGTATGTATACGAGAAAATAAAAATTGGATCGTTTAAAAAATATTTGAAAACGCTGAATCAAGAACGGGTGCGTTACATGGGGGAGAGGGGAATTCAAAATACTCCCAATTTCCGTTACGTAATTTATGGACGGCCTCTAAGCTACGGATCGGGATAGCAAAAGATACACTTTTTACAGACGAGAAAGTTGTAAGGTGCAAAGAGTGAATCAACTTATACTCTCCAAACGTTTATATAATTTTTAAAAATTGTTTAGGAATATTTAATGTAATTTCGTATTATGTAAATGTGTTTTGTAATTAGGGTATTTAAATATTACATATTTTATCCGATTTTACATATTTATTACACATTCTTACTGTTTTGATTGCATATTTATGTACATATTTTTACATTTCATACTACACAGATTTCCTGTCTCTATGTACAAGACGCCCTGGGTCCGATTTCCACTCTTAACTATAAATTTTTCAAAATTTCAAAAATTTGAATTTTCTTCGCTGTCTTCGTGTAGCTAATTGAAGGTTGCAATTTTCTTCAAATCATTCTACACAATTAGTTTTTTATTTAATGTCCTGTCAATTTTCTTGAAACGTTTAGTAGTTTCCTAGCCATTTTGAGTGAAATATGGGGCAGTATTAAAAATATCAAAGTATGAGACAAAAATATCTATCTCCAATTTTGAAGTTTTACACTTTTTCTTCCAATTTTCGAAAAACGAGAAAGTCAACGAAAACCAGACCTGCACCACTCTCTTAAACGTCCTTTGTCCTATTCAACAACAAAATTTAATAAAAAAAAGACTAGCCATTTTTTGAAAATTTCTCAGGAACTTCATGTTAAGCACTCCCGAAAATAAAATTTCGGTTTTAAATTCTAGGATCCGCGACATCAGCTAGAACAATTGCGGAATATCAATTATAGAGAGAATCTGATGAACGGTTTATGCGCTAGCGTTGTGCATAGACGGACGGACAGACAGACGGACGGACGGACGGACGGACGGACGGACGGACGGACAGATTTTGTCGTCAATCGATTTTATGGTATGCAGGACCCACAAAACGGATTCTGGCTACAAAACATTTTTTTTCCATATTTAGCAACTGGATTTATCCCCTTTTCCCTTACCAGGGCCCGGCAGAAATAATTTTTGTGTCGAAAATTCGCCGTTTTCCGGTGCCCGATTACAGCTTTGTATTATGTCTGTATGTGCGAGAAAGCAAAAACGCACAAGATGAACAGATGAATATTAGCACTTCATTTTCGTGAACCTTTGGGGACATTAACGGACCATGGGCTGCACGCGAACTTTCCTTCCTCTTGATTGATTGCTAGTGATTGCGGACTGCTAAAGTCGCTAGTCCCGTAAGTATACGTTTTTCATCAGCAGGTGGCGGTGATGTTCCCCGCTACATGGCAGGATCCGGCGCCGAACTACCGTCCGCTAGCGGGGTTTTCCTCAACAAGGTGTCTTCCGCCGACGGGGCACCGCCCTAGGCGGGACAAACTTCTAAGCTATATACCGACCGGCTGGGCGGCGGTGGGAGTGCAGTGCATGTAAAGGGTGAGGATAGAACAAAGGAGAGAGGAAAGATGGCGCGGTCCGAGCATTCTAGCAGCCGGCTGTTCTGATCGGTAGATTTTCGTGGTTTCTCTGATCAATGCCAGGCGAATGCCGGAGCAGTACCCTAACAAACGGGCCACGGTCCGCGAGAGATTTTTCTTTCCTCTTTCTTGTCCAATCCTATTACCCTGATTCACTAATAACGAATCAATCTCAATAGGAACAAACTTCAGGCTCTGGTCTCCCGAGTCGAATAGTGTAACAGTTGTGTGAAAGAACGTGTACTTAAAGGCGAAAGGATGACGAACAAAAGATAATGCGCGATCAGTGACCCGTTTATTTAAGAATACTTAAACAAAAGGGTCACTGATCGCGCATTATCTTTTGTTTCTTCTCCAGCATTCGCCTGGATCGAAGAAACCACCATTAGAATTCTCTCGCAAACGCATAAGAGAACTCGACCTGGCTTGAGTGTGGCCAGAGCCGAACATGCGCCGCCGTCCACACTCGAACCCTATGACCTCCCGGTGAGAAACGTTGCAGAGCCATCCCAGCGGTGAAAATAACGACGATTTCCCCCAAAATACCCGTATGATTCTACTGAAATACCTTTAGATGGAGGTAATTATTTAGTATAATACCTTTAAATAGAGGTATTTTACCGGTGTAGACGTCGGATAAAGGCAAAATGCCTCTAAAAATACCTGTATTCCACGTCTTATACCGGCGTTTTTAAGGTATTTTGAATGAAGGTATTATAGAGGTAAAGGTATTTCTATAACGGAATAAATACTTTTACTATTATTTCCATTTCGGTCCCTGGGTGCAGATTCGTTAAAACTCCTGATTTTCGGAAATAGCAAAAGTTCAATTTCAAGCCTCATCCTACACTACAACATTGAAGGCAATTTTTTTTTCACTTAAAGAATTCTGTCATTTAAAGGCAGAACTAAGAAATAAAGTTACATACAATTTTTCGAAAATTGAGTACTTCTCGCGTAATATTGCGTGAAATTTAAGGCATCTTTCTCTTCGAAAGGATTGTAAAAAAATTTGCGCTAGTTTCAATTCCAACGAACTCTGTATTTTCAAAAATTGTAACATTTTAACATTTAAAATTACAAAATAGAAGAAAGAATTTTTGCATTAAAAACTTCTAAAAATAAGCTCTTTAAAAAGATCATATACAAGTTTACAAAAAAAACTAGTAGTTTTTGCTTAATTTATGCTTGAAATTTCTGCAATTTATAAAAAAACATTTTCCTAAATACCGCTCCAAATGTTTGTTATTTTTATTTTCTCTACGCACATGTCAAAGAACAGTAAAATAATTGGTGTTCGTGTCATTTCAAGTGAACACACTCTTTTCAAAAATTGCAAAAAGTTAACATTTCAAAACTAAAAAACTGAAACTAGAGATTTTTTCCTTAAAATCCATTTTAAAAAATCAGCTCTTAATAATAGATTTATCCCATTTTGAGAAAATGAGTAGGCTTAACATAATTTCTGTTTGAAATTAACGCAAATAATTAGTCTTAATCACTACTGCAAAGCTTTGCTTTAAATTTTTCTCACTGATACAAGTGATGCTTAAAAGAATGGTGAAAGTGTCAATTTCGTTGATCTCGATGACTTTTCGAAAATTTGTTTGCGCCCATTAAAATGCGTTTTGGAAATAATAACAACATAATTAGATTATAAAGTGTTGGCCCAAGTTGGTATGCCATATCTACTGTGGATGTAGCAGTAAGGCGCAAGTTAACTCTGTAAACCCAAGTTGCAGTCTCGGCACAGAAAAAAAATTGGCTGTTTGAAATTACTTTTGAAGGTGTATGTAGAAATACAAAATTGCGGGTTGCACAAATGTTGCGAGAATGTGTGTGATGTTCAAAATTTCATACATGTATTTGTCTAAATTATTAAATGTCTAAATGCATTGTATTTGTTTGTACTAGATACTATGTCAAACGCTTCTTTTTTATTATTTTTTTTTTATTAAAACGAGTAGTTCACAATATTTGAATTTTCTGTAATGTAAAATTGAACATCATACAACAGTGCTTTTCAAAGCAATCTATTTATCAATATTAGATCTTTAAATCATTTGAATATTTCATCATGAATCAAGAATATTTTTTCAAAAATTAGTTTAATTTTAATTTTCAAGAATTACATTTCAACTCCTATCTGACGTAACTTGGAAAGAATAATTCATTAAGTCACAAAGCATATAGAACAGAGAACACTACCTAATAACAACAGATCAACAGATTCTCCTGCACACATACCTTTTTTCATAGCTTCCTGAATATCTGTAAAATTCAACCTGTCTTCAATGTATTTTGCATCTGTTATCATGTGAATAACTTTCCCTTTTTTAGCTTCATTTCCAAGAGCAATCATAAGTTCTGGACATGCAATATTAAATAATGCAACATCCACACTGGATTTACTCTCTTCTATACACTTGGTGAGTTTCCTGGGAAGAAACAAAATCTGTTTTAATGCTGATTTTGTACATCTTACACAAGGTATTTGGCAATTCATGTAGTCTTAGCTAATGTATTAACATATGCAATTAAATTAGATGCGTAGAATTCAGAATAGGAATTTTAGAATGTATACTGATACTAACAAGGAAAGGACACAGTTCATTGGCATGACAGGGGAACGAAATATGATCCATTCCAATTTTATTGTCTTTTGTAGAGTTATTACTTCATTTGAACTAAATATTGACAAGTGTGTCACTAAAATTTAACCAATTTCCACAGGAATTCTTGAGCATAATAATTATGCTCACTTTAAACTGAATAAAACTTAGTCATTCACTTGACAATATTTAGTTCAAATGATGTAATAAATCTTACAAACGACATAATAAAATTGGAATGGGTCATATCTCATTCCTCAGTCATATCAATGAACTGTGACCTTTCCTTGTTAATATCAATCTACATTCTAAAATAAAAAATATTATGACGATTTTAATAACTTTTTTTTTCTGTCTGAAATATGCAATAAAACAAAATATTATATCTTTCAGAGATAGTTGAAACACATCCAAAAACTCACATATCTGTTGTAGATACTGAGTAACTTCTGGAAAAGTGAACACAGTGTAACATATTAATAAGATCTTTTAAATAATTCCATTTAGTTAAAGTTACAATCAGGGCTTGATTTCTGCCAGAACGCTATGGAAAGGTCGTTCCAGTACCTCAGAAATAATTATTAAATTATATTATAAATATAATTAATTATTTCTATAAAAAATTCAGAGACCACTCCAGGACCTAAAATTTATAAATCAAGCAATAATTACAACCTAATATTTGATTAAACAACTGTTTTATCATCAAGACATTTTTAAAGATTACAACTTTGTTTGTTGCCTTGGTATGAACCTCTCATATATCCTAATCACTCACCTTAGAGAACACTTCATGCGATAATGCATTTAAACACCAAAGCTTTATATTATCTATTATGAAACGTCTCAAAATATTAAGTTTTGTGTTTTAACTACCAATACAATTCTCATATTACTCATTCTCATAGGAAGCTGCTACAATTTTTTTCTCGGAAAAGTCCACACATCTTTCTAATCCTAGATTCATTAAGATAAGATTAAAGGGAGGTTGAAGGAAAAGGATAATAAGCAGAAGAAAAAAGGAAGGAAGAAGGGAAAGGAAAAACAAGCAAAAAGCGGAAGGAAAAAAAGAAAGAAAAAGATTTATAGTAAAAGGTTGTTGGTATAACAAATACTATTTCGGTTCATAGCAATGTATGCTGTTATAGCTTGAAGTCTACCATAATAACTTGAAATCATTAATTGGTATCCAAAAAATGTTTTTAAAAAGCATGCTACAGATATCAAAAGTGAACTTTTAGGGAAAATGGAATAATTAGTATGAAACAATTAAAATATGGGTTTCAATCTTTAAAATAATGAAATGTCAGTATGTATCTCAATGTTGTTGTTGTTGTTGTTGTTATTATAATTTTATTTTGTCCTTAGATATTTAAAAATTCTTTCTATACAAGAGACAAATTATGTTAGGTTGAAAGTTAGTCACTGTCGGTTCACCTAAACCTGTACGTCTGTGAAAGGTTTCTTTATTTGTATTTGTTACAATCTGCAAAATAAAGATACAAAACATAAAATTACATTGTCCTAAGATAAACAAGAGCCCAGCCAATTTTGGTATAAGATTAAGAAAACATACAGGTGACAACCATTTTTTAACATATTTCTGCAAAGGAAGTAAACTTCAACTTTGACTGTAGATATAACCAAGAAACTGGAATTTTTCCCACAATTACAAATATTGTGCACACAAATGTATTTCCTATGATGTTTTGGTCAAGTTGGTTTCACCAATGAATATTTCTTAGGATGTCCATCAAATCTAGCAACACAAAGGTTCCTCAGGTTGCTATTCCCTTGCAGAGTAATCATTGTAAACACAGAAAGGAACTATAAAATATTTCTGAAAGAATAATTTGGCTTACTATCATTTTTCTGTTTATAGAAGGATCATATTACATTCACTACGGAAAATGTCAATTTGTGGAGTATAAATACTCCCATTTCTAAGAGACATTATGATGGCATAATTTGTAAATAATTCTGGTGCATAAAATTATCTCACACTTACCGTAAAGAAAGTTCAATACAATCCAACGAATGGTGTCTCAACCGAATATTTACCTCAGCTGGGCAGTATGGTCCGCAAGCATAAACACCCGCATGAAATATAGCGCAGTCTCGCACTTCACTATTCAATTTCTTTCTTTCCCGCTTCTGGTGCCAATAATAAATTGCATATACTATAACATCGAATGCAATGAGTCCGGCGCTGACGCGAAAGAAATTGCATCCTATTTGTGCCATCTTTTTACAAGTACACTCACCGCAAAATTAAAGTAGGAATAATGTTACTGTTTATTTGCACTAGTCTTTACGCAACCTCCTCACAGAACGATATACTGTGACCATATTCCTTTTGCGCCTATAATCAGTTTTTATCTAGGGGTTACCGCTTGCACGGTTTTCAAATTGTCTTCTGCAATACAGATTACCAGAACACGTGACTTCGAGAGCTGGTGAGGGCAGAACCAACAACTCTGAGTGGCAGGTTATTGTATACTCTCTGGTGGCAAGTTTCAGATGGTTGATATCAGAGAGTATTATTATAGTACGATTTATTAGTCGTACACTTGACGTAAATCAGTTATTGCGGATTCATCTAATTGGAAGCATGTATGTCGCTAGGGACATCACATTTCAAGCTCCCACAGATGAACCGGTGAACAGCTGATTTACGTGAAGTACATAGTTAATCCTAGTATATACTTGTTTTTCGGCATGTGGGGACCTTTCTTCACAATGGAATATCTCACGGCATTTCGCGTTTTAATCTGTTGTACCACAAGATATCGCATGATGACATCTAGCGGCACGTCCTAGAAAGACGAGAAATTACGTGAGATATTACATCGTGAAGAAGGCTTTCATGCGCCAAAATATAAAAATCGAAGTATATACCGCGAACCGCAGCGTACTTTCGGCAGTACGGTACAGTATGTGTTGATTTTCTTTTAGTACGTTGAGATAATTCTTCATTGGAGGTTTCCCTCTGCCTAAAATGACGTTTAAACATTTTTTACTTCGTACTCTCGTATACGTACTACGTAAAAATACTTAGTAATATAGGAATTAGTGTAGAAAAAGTTATGTATTGCTGCAGAAAATCGATTTCGAGATTTTAACACAAATATCCGGGTGCCCTGACACCGAAAAAGTGTATTTTTCAAAACACACTACCGTCCGTTCGTCTATTAAACACTATACTAGGATTCTTTTAACCATGCATTTGAAGTAAATAAGCTGTTCACGGTTTCATCTAATTGAAAACTTGAACGTCCCCCATAGTGACGTCACTGAGGCGACATTCAAACTCGCGATTGGATGAAACCGCAACAGCTGATTTATACTCCCTATACTTTATATTTTATATATATAGTATAGGGAGTTATGTAATAATGCAGAAATTCGATTTCAAGATTTCAACTGAAATACACGGTTGGCTTATACCAAAAAAAGTACATATTTCAAAACGCCTGTCTATGTATTACCTGTCCGTCCGCCCGACCGTCAGTCTGTCAATTTGCAGTCAGCCAGTTTGTCAGTCAGTCCGTCCGGAAACCGGACTGGGACAAAAAGGAGCGGGAGAGACAGAGTAGGCCTTTTTAAATTTCCTACTGTTCCAAAAATTTCCTGGTGTTCCTTTAATAAAATATTTTGTGTAGGATTTTCTTAAATCTTTTTTAATTAAGTACACTCACAACCAGTTTATTTCGAAAGAAAAAAAAATGTACAAGTACAAGAAAGGCTGGTAAATTATGTCAACAAATTAATGAAATACAACTGCATATTAATTTCAATTATTAATTTAATTTTTAGATACTTTTTCTATTCAATTATAAGTGCATTGTAAACAAAAAGCAGAGAAATAAATCACAATTAGAGATAATGGCCATTATGAGTTTCCATTTCTTCACACTTCAGCAGGGCCATCATTTGAATCAAATGACATTGCTTCACGGTTCTCATATGTCCAGAAGCCATTTAAATCAATTAAAATGCTCACCATAGTGTCTCCCTGACCACTGGAGAATAAAACAACCAACATTGAAGACAATTTATTCAACCTAATATGAATAATCCACTTTCGTACAACATTGAATCACAAATACCCACCAATTTATTAAATCTTGCAAAGTAATTTTAGTTGGATCTATTGGCTTCACCATATCAAATATTTCATCTTTTACATCTTCGAAAGAAACTGGTTCTTGTCCATGAATTGCCATTTGTTCCTGGATAGACTGCAACAGATCAACCATTTTCCAGAGGTACATTACTATTTCAATATAGTATAACATACAATGGTATATTACTATTACATAAGTAGAAAAACCAATTCATTACAGACAGGAAAAATATTTACATTTGCATTGTGAAATTGGTTTCACAGATACCTACAAATCTTGAATGTTAACTTACCCTGAAAAAATAGTTCAGGCAAAATGTATCCAAGAACCCTTTTCCATGAATATCCAAAATGCGAAATAAATACTGTAAAGACTGTGGTTCTTGCCTATTTTCCATGGCGAGTACAAAGTCTAAATAGGTTTTGTAATCCATTTCACCATCATAAGTAAGACATTCTTGGAATACTCGCTCCATAAAAACACGAGTAAGTGTTCCAGTGCCATATCTAAGATTACAAAGATATTTCACAATAAGAGAAAAGATTTACATAACACGTGAACAAAAGCACAATATTTTCAGTTGACACTTTTTGATATATACATTTAACATAGTTATAATAATCTTCTGAAAGGAAGGATAGGATTCCGATTCACTAGGAAACAAACTTTATTGCAATAAAAAAATAAAAATATGCACATGTATATATTCCAAAATATGTAAGAAAAAATAAAAAATATGTTTCAAATTGCTCTTCACAAGCATTTTCCAAGCATCGAACGTTATCAATCAAATCTTACGATGGATTCGGAGCAGCTGAAAGACAGTTCCACCTCTACTAAAGTAATTGTACTCTAACTTTTACTACACATAAAGAGTTAGATTCGAAATATTTTTCTTTATCTTTCGCCTAAAATGAAGTGCAGCAAGTTAACGTGTTTCTCATAATTTTGATAGAAGTTATGTAAACTGTACAAAATAAAATGGATTTAAAATAATATTTTAAAATCTCATACGACATTTTACACAACACAAAAAACCCATTCAATTGTTTTTACAATTTTTTGATTAATCAGGATCTGCTCACATTTTATTTTGCTCTATGGCTGGATCATCGATCACTGAACCCCAATCCATACTGTGAAATCCTCCAAAAAACGAGTGGTTGAAGGTGCTTAATGAGGAGTATGATTTTTCAGAGAAAAATGACACTTGAAAAATAGGTATTAGTTGAACGTCTGAATTATGTTCACGTCTTGAAGAATTGTTGGGTCTTCTGCCAGGTTAGAGGAAAAATCCATTTCAAGGCTTCATTGGTTGCAAAAGGTTTTGTTCAAAGACAAGGAATTGACTACATGGAGACATTCAGTCCTGTTGCATGATATGGAACTATTCTAATCTTGTTAGTGCATCCAAATGAAGCTCAGTTTGACTTCACAACTGCTGTCCTGGACAGTGTGCTTGAAGAAGATGTGAATATGGAACAGAAGGAACATTTTAAGTACAAATCTGCATGAGTGGGTCCCATGAAGAAAAGCTTGTATGGACTGAAACAGGTGCCGTGCTACTGGAACAAAGAGTTCAAAAAGTTTATGAAGAAAGCTGGATTTAAAAACAGTAGTACTAATGACTGTTCTACCACAAAGGAAATGGGAAGTATGTTTATGTTGTAATTTTCATGGATGACAGTGGCTACAGCCATCGATATAGAAGAACTTCAGGAATTCATTGAAATTCTGCAGCTGGATTTCCATAAAACCAGAGGATATCTCAGAAACTTTTTGGATATAAGAATACCCTCACAAATGAAGATAGATGAATAGCAAACAATCAATAGGACTACACACAAAAAGTTTTAGAAAGATTTGGAACGGCCAAGTCAAATGGGGTTTCGACTCCAATTAAGCATGAAGACAATGATGGAGGAGGAAAGGTCACGGTCATGGTTTCTTATCGTGTAGTGATGGGCTCTTTGATGTACCTGACTACAGTAACATATATTGCCTTCAAGATTGGAATCAGAAACTGATAGAACTGTGAACTTTCGTAATCAGCTTCTCAAAGTTCAAGACTGGATTTGGTGAAACAAATATTTTAATATTTGTAAACAGTAAAACATAGAATTGTCTTCAAAAATGGGCAAGCCATAACGGTTGCAGTGATGCTGACAACATTGTTGACAAGATCAATGACTGGTGTCATTGCAACCTTTAGTAATTAAGCGGTATTGTGGATCAGTCAGTTGCCAAAACCGGTGGCCACATCGACTACAGAAGCTGAGCGAATAGCAGGAGTTAATCTGGCTAAAAAGATTGCTGTCTGAATTTCTGGAAACTGTCAAAAAATGTGTGCTCTACATTCACAATGCTGGTGCAGTAAAACTGGCTAAAAATCCAGAATACCATCACTGATCAAAGAACATTCAGGTTCACATCATCTATATGAAGGAAAGAGTTTTGGATAGAGATTTGGAACTGGAGCACATCATTGGGTCCAACCAGCTAGATCTACTGACTAAACCTCCTGAGGATTCAAAAAGCTATGCGAGTGGACTGGTGTCCAAAAGATTACACCACAAAGTGTTAAATATAGTATATTTTGTTGACATTGATTTTTTGTTTTGTTTTGGAGGAAGTGTTAATAAGAACACAAAAATGCAGACAAGTAATGCCATCTGGCAAAGTGTCTTTGAACTAATGGACTGCAAAAAAATGGGTTGAAAAGTTGAGCCAATTCAGATTTTGTTTGTTATGTACGTCTCAAAACTTCTTTTACATTGTAAATCTAGTTTGGGTAGTAAATAAAGTTTAAACAAGTAAATTGGCAGTCTTCTTTCTTTACAGCTGAATACAATGAAACTCCATTTATTTGTTGTTGTGTTTTTGAGCCCCATACAAAATCTTATACTTCCCATGCTAAATTACTTCAGATATGCATTTTATGTTGATACGTATTTCAAGCTTTTATGTTCATAATGAAAGTCTATGTAAGACCTTCATTCATTCAAATGTTAATGACTAAGGGGACCAGTAAGTGAGAACGTCTATGTAATCTTAGAGAAGCTCAAATAATTTTTGTGTTGAAGTAAGTATTCAGGTTGCTTAATTTTGTTGCTAAGCCGGGTGTTTCAACTGGTTTCAAATCTGCATTTTGGAATTTTGAACAAAAACTACACAATGAAACTAATGGTGCTACAGAAAGACACAGACTTTCTCATACTAGTTTTTTCCCTAATTTATTATGTCTGGGTTGGCTTTTCAGTTTCGCTCAATTTTCTTCCCAGCTGCCAACTATCACAGCTGAACTACATTTTCTCAATTTTTCAGTCACCTAATGGCAGAACATGACTTTAAGAAGAGTAAAACATCATCTTATGGTAATTTTTGTTGAAAACTTTGCAGCCATTTTTGAGAGTTTCTGAAAATATGTATTTTGATGCTCATTTTCACCAAACTCTTTTGCAAGAAACTTCAAAGAAAAATTATTTAAGCGATTGTATTAAAAATGCAATAATGTATACAAATCGCTAAGAATGTAAATTTTAACAATAAGAAAGATATAAAAAAATACATTCCTCTAATTTTGGAATGATAAAAACCTAACAACATAAAAGTGGCATTTACGTCATGTTATTCAATTCATTCATTCATTATTCATTCAAAAAATTTAACGAAACATTTTGGAGCCGTTTTCAAAAACTTTGCATTTTAGCATTTCAGAAAATGCGGGATTTTTTGGCTCATTTTCATAGAAAACTTTCTAGTTTTCAATAAGACACCATTTGAAGCACATGTACTCAGAAATGCAATAATGTCTATAAATCGCCGGTAATGTAAATATTAATAATATGAGAGAGATGTCAAAAACTTTACAATTGTGTAATTTTTAAACAAACAAAAGAATTGAGCAAAATTGCGTTTATGTAATTTAATACAGAACATTTACTAACACACATTACTAAAATTTTCAAGGAAATGTGTGCACGATCTTAATGAAAGAACTAATTATGGAAAATAGATTTCCTCTGACGGAGAAATCTTTTATCTTCAATTTTGTACTTGTGAGAACACCCCCAAAAAATTTCAAACTTTGGCAAAGTTAAAAGTGAAAAACAGACTTATGCCATCTTGATAAGTGTATTTTACATGATTCTTTCAAAAAATTTGAAGAATGTTTTTCAAAATCATAGACCTTCAATTCAAGCCAGGGAATACCCATTTTGGAAAAAATCAAGTTTAGTTTAAGGGCTTGTGTTCTCTAAAGGACAGACATTTTGAAGAAGAAGAAGAAGAAAAGAAAGAAAGAAGGAAAGAAGAAAAAAGTATGAAAGAAAAGATAAAAAGAAAAAAAAGGTGAGAAAGAAAGAAAAAAAATCAGTATCAGAGGTACCCAGAACTTTTATTTCCATTGAAATCTTGAAATTGATTTTCCGCAATATTACATAACTTCCTCTATACTATGTATATAACCCCATATATAGATACTTTTATGAGAAAGCTAAAATAGGGGCATTAATGCTGACCAGTGCAGCTTTGCATAATGTTCACCAACATTGCACAGTAAAAATCTGGCACATTTAAAGGAAATATTGAAACTTGAGGAAGTCAAATATTTAGAATAACAATAAACGACTGGGCCCCATAAAATGCAAATCTCAGTGCTATCTTTTCCATCTGGCATGCCTACGACTGGCTCACATGTCTTCTAAGTAACAAGTAATGTACTTTAGCTTACGGGTCAATGACTGATAACAGGTAACGCATTTTAGCTTCCAGATCAATGACTGATAACAAGTAATGTACTTTAGCTTGTAGGTCAATGACTAATAACAAGTAATGTACTTCAGCTTCTGGTCTTGATCATGTTTTTGTCCAGTTTCTCTGATCTATTAAGCAAATGCCTAGATGACTCCTTTTGTTTCTGGACATAAATATAGCTTCACTATGTGCATATTTTGCTGAACTCACCTTTCCTAGTGGTGGAAAATGTGTGGGGAGAGTGGATATTCAAAATACTCTAAATTTGTGTTACTTTATTTATGGACAGAAAGAGAGAGATACTCCTCCAGAGCAGACGGAGCAGAAAACCAATTTGAAATTTGAGCATCTTTGGTAAATCCACATCCCTCAACTGAAATGTTAACATACAAATACAGATAGGTAAAACATAGAAAAAAATTATGCAAACGATACCCTTAACAAAATTTCATAATTAGAGTTGATTTAAAATCATTTCTCTATAAATTCTGTTATCTTGAAGCACAAGCTATTTATCACTATACACTTTACCTATGAGTTACACAGAGGTAACAAGGAGAGTTCTAACATTAGCTCTAAGAACGTACCTCAAGTAAATCATCCAAAAAGCTGCAGGCAGTATATCTTTGAATTCTTACTCTCCTGTGCGTAATGGAATGCCAAAAGAAAAATAGAAATTTTACGCACAGCGTGGTAACACACATAAAGACTGTTGAAATGATTTTCTAATCCATACTAGTTGTGGTAATGTGGGAATTAACTCCAATATGTAATTTCAAGTCCATTAATATTAGATATTACTATTGTGCATTTTACGCAGATCGGTTCGATTCTAGGTCTATTCTTGAATGAAAAAATAGTGACAGTGCAAACTTAATTACTAAACCACTTCCCGAAGGTAAGTACTGAACCTATTTACATCATAACATTGACAAATCTATCACAATACGAGTTGTCGATACCATAATTTCTTTTACGCATGACTGGTAATTAAATAGCCATGTGTTATTTCGTCTTGAGGGTCTCCAATTTTGGTAACTTAGCAAAAACTTCAGGAGTAAAATATTTCCTGAAACAAATGTCTGAAGTTAGTAAGTTTGGTTGGGTAACAATCATCTCATAATGATTTTCTCTTAAATTTACTAGATTTCCATTACTTTGTTAACAATAGAAGCATTTTCTTATTAAGAAAATTCAGGGAGAAAAATAACAACATACAGTAACTTGCACTATACCTACAGGACACCAAAGAGTTTACAAATCATAAAAAAAAATCAAGTAAGCTTTAGGTCTTAATCCACATAAAACAAGGAAACTGATTGTCCTATTGACTTATCACAATAGCATTGAGACCATAATTTATGTAGGTAAACTGAATCTGCAATTTTTAAGACATTATTCAAAATCAATGTTTGTGGAAACCAATGAATACGGTACCATTGTGAAAATTATAATCTAAAAACGAAACAATAAGGACATTAAACTTCACTACAAAATATAATTCCGCAGGACACCAGAACGAAGCAGCAAAACTATTTCATAACCCATTTATCACAAATTGAAGAATTTTAATTCATCACAACTCTAAGTATTATAAATTATTGTTATGTGTGTTATAATAGCTATTGTTATTATTATTAATAATACTATTACTATTATTACACT